GGGGAAGATGAGAATAAGAAAGAGGTTGGGAGGGAGAAGGAAAAGAGAGCTGCTTAGCCAAGAGTTGTGGGAACAGATCAAAAAGAGAAAAAAGAACAAGATGAAAGAACAACAAAAACAATTGCCTAAGCAGAGGTGAAGAAGTAAAGCTTAATTTCTACCAGGCTTTTTGCAAACAACAGTTACAACCTATTTGTGCCTCAGAACAAAACAAGAGATTGCACTGTGCTTTTAATTATAGTAAAGGAAGGTGAGAGAGAGCCAATGTGGCATAGTGGTTTGAGTGTTAGACAATGACTCTGGAGACCAGGGTTCGATTACCCAGTTGGCCATGAAACCCACTGGGTGACCGCAAATCACATGCTCTCAGCCTCAGGGAAACATGTTGGCAAACCTCCTCTGAAAAAAATCATGCCATGAAAACCCCATGATAGGCTCACTTTAGGGTTGCCAGAAATTACTTGAAGGCACAGAACAAATACAAGAGAGTAATAACAAAAACTGGAAAATTAACAATGCAATAGAAAATGGAGAAGCCATAAAGTAACAGTCTTACAGAACCATATTCAGTGACTCCTGAATTAGCAAATACTGATGTAGGTCAGTATTTCTCCATATTGACTGCTTCCTTCCACTGAAACCATTGCCAGTCATGCCTTGAAAAACTTTCAGAGAGGGAAAGGGAGGGAGGGAGGAGGTGGCCAGGAAGACCCTGCAACTGTCTTCTCCACTTGTTCCAAAACTGGCACCAGTAGCATGGGCTGGCAGACTATAGCCTGTTTGAGCATGGGGGGGTGTGTGTGCCTTTTCAAGATAAAACTTTCATTCCTCAGATTCTTCTCCTGTCTCTGAGAGAGAAGATTTGGGTTTCCTGAGATCTTGGGACCCTGTTCACTTCCTCTTCTCCCTAGTCAGGAATTGGAATTGGTAGGCAAGAGAGAGAATGTGAATGTGATATTAGTAAAGAGGTCCACTAAGGCTATATTATTATTATTATTATTATTATTATTATTATTATTATTATTATTATATTTATTTATTTATTTATTTATTTCTAAAGCGCTGTTAATATACACAGTGCTGTACAGAGAGAAAATCAATATAAAATAGAATAAAAACCTGCCAGAGGCGTACAATCTAATACAAACAGTAGTAAAATAATAAAAGTCAATTAAAACAAAAAACAATACAACAACTAATTATTGTTCTACAAAACGGACCCAGCACTGGCAGAATAAAACATGCATGTGAAGTATATATTGGCAACTTTGGGCTTTTGCAGACTTCCAGAAATAGTGCACATTAAATTGAGGCACTGCCCTGGCTCAGTGCTGGGGAATCATGGGAACTGTAATGTATTGTGGCACCAGAGCTCTCTGACAGAGAAGGCTCAATGTCTCAGAAAAAAATACAATTCCCATGATTCCCTAGCACTGAGCCAGGGCAGTGCCTCAATTTAATGTGCACTATTTCTGGAAGTCTGCAAAGGCCATTTGTTTAGCTTCTAGGGCTTTCTTGAAGAACCATAAACAAAATGCATATGTAAATTTAAAGTAAACATCATTATGCAGTGGAACTGTAGAGTTTAAAAGCTATCCTGCCAAGTTTCCTAGCAACCAAACATTTATTCCTTGTCTCAGTTGTGAAAATCATCTCATGCCTTTATAGCTGTCAGCTACATTTTCTGTAACTCTTTAAGAGTCATTTTGACTTTAAAACTCTCTTTTATGAGAGAGCCTGCCCTTGCATATAGACTTTTCATATGCATGTTGAATTGTAAGAAGGTATGTATTTGCTGTAACAACATTTAGAATAAGTGTGTCACCTGCTGAGTCCTTTCGAACCCATGGTTTTATACAATAGTTAGGTTAACTGAAGAGATTTATTAATACAAGTAGAGCTACCATGCCTGGATCCACTCAGCTAACACTTCTGCAAAGAAGCTTGAAGTCTAGAAACTGTATCTTATTAAAAGTGATAGTTCATAGTTAATTTAGTGTGCATAAATACATGACAGCAAGGCTGTATTGAAAAATCTATTCCAGTTCTACCAAGTCAATTTCACGCATTCACTGAACATAAAAGCCACCACAGGCTTTTATCATTCTTTCACTACAACAGGGAACCCATTGTCACTGTGTTTTTTAAAAACCAATAAAGTTACCTGTCACAGAATTCAGCTTAGTCCTATGTATCTGTTCCTATAACAAGGAACAACATTGTTATAATTCAGACCACTTCAGTCATATAAACATGTTTTCAGTCATATAAATATACTTTTCTAATTTCCTGAAAGTTAATTTGGTTGGGGGGAGTGGTGACCTTCTACTTGGTTGTTCCTTAAAAAAAGAAAAATAATGGAAGCAAACCCATTCTTTTCAGCTCTACATCTTGGGGGGAATGGAGGGATCTGGGAATTGCTTGGAGACAACAGTGTGGTAGAGACTTATTGATTTCATGTTCTGCATGTGGCTTTACCAAAAGCATTTAGTTGGCATGCTAGTAGATTTTTAGTTTTAGCCAACAGAGCTCTTCCTATGTTCTTATATAAATCAGAGATCAATTTTAGTGGCTTTAAGTCTATGTGGTTGGTTATTGGTGTGTTGAATTGTGAAATTTGTGAAACTGACAGATAACCTCTAGAATACAACAGGCAGTAATCCAGTAATATTCAAACTTTTTACCCTTGGGATCCCCCTTTACATCTACATGTGGATATCACATGCTCCCCCAATTGACATAGTATACAAATGATAATACAATTGCCCCTCCCAATTCTCAAGGGATCCATTCTGCCTCGCCCCTGCCCCCCATGGAAAATGGCAGCTCGCTAATATTCAAGCTCCATTTAAACCAGGAGTTGGCAACCTACGGCCCCCGGGCCAGTTCCAACCCAGGT